CCTTTTTCTGTTTGTTAATGGGGATTGAGTCCAGGTCCTTTGTATGGAGGACATTCTCAGATCTTTTTTTTAATTCTGAGACAAATTCTTGCTAATTCACTAAGTTGCCCAGGCTGGGTTTGAACTTTCAGTCCTGCCTCAGCCTCTGAGCAAGCTGGGTTTGCAGGCGTGTTCCACACCCTTCTGTACTCTCTGCCTCTCACCTTTTATTACCACTACCTTAGGAATCCAATTTCAATATGAGTTCGGTGGGGACAAAACATAACTGAACACAGCATGTTGTAAGATGGGAATGGAAGTTTTAAGTTATTATTCTTGAAGCCGGGCATGGTGGTGCACATCTGTCCTCCAGTACTTGGGAGGCTGAGGCAGGAGGATTGTCAGGAGCCAAGGCCAGCCTGAACTACAACAGTGAGACCTTTCTCAAAAAAGAACCAAACAGTTATTATCTTACTGCTTGTACAAGGGTGTCTGATGCTTCTAGCACCATTTGTTGAAAAGGTCTTTTCCCCACCAAGTGGCTTTGCACCTGCGTTGAAATTCAGATGTCCGTTTATGTGTGGATGCTGTTCTATTGATTTATCCGTGTCCGCCTCGGTATGCATGGTTTTGGTTACTGTATTGTTACTGTGGGCACTGTAGTCAGGTAGATTTTCAATTAGGTAGACCGTTCTGCTTTTTTGAAGTTATTTTAGATCTTCAGACCCTTTGCTTTTCCATATGAATTTAGAATCCACTGGTTAATCACTACCAGAATGCCTGCTGATTAGTTTTTAGGCAGATTTTAAAAAATTGATGCAAATAAATCTTGGGAACAGCTCAAATGGCCACCAAACGATGAATGGATAAAGAAAGTGTGTGTTTTTTTAAAGACATAATGGAGTACTACTCTGCCATAAAGGAAGATGAGCTTGAGACATTTCTAGCTAAATGATGCCCCTGGGGACCGTATTCTTCAGTGAATTAAATACTGCATTGTTTCTCTAGTGTGAAAAACCAAAAGTGGAAATAAGGACTAACATGTATAGCAGATACTGGGAAATGGAAGAAAACGTTCAAATGGGAAGGGCAGCAAGGGAGGGGAGAGGGAGGAAGAAAGGGAGGGAAAAGAAAACAGACAGAATGGAAACAGAGCTTCCATGCACAGGGAGGAGAGCGGCTGGAGGGCCACGAGAAGAAAGAGGCGGTGTGCGGCCCGTGCAGTGCGGACTCCCTGCGGTGGGCGTCACGTTGTCTGTGCCCGGGACGTGCCATCCGTGTTTTGCTAGAAAAACTAAATAAAGTGTACCGATACATGTTTTGCTTCAAAACATAAATGTCACATTGAGCAAAAACTCATAATTTCAGCCATTTTAAAGTTTACAGTTCAGTGGTTTTTAATACATTCAACAAGGTTGTCCAGTTCTCACAATTTAATTTCAGAATCTTTCTTTCACCCCAAAATGAACCTGCACCCATTAGCAGTCCCTTACATTACCTTCCACCCGTCCTTAGCCTCACACTCACCCACGTGTCCTTTCTTGCCTGCTTACGTCCTGCCCTTTTTATCTTTTGTCCGTCCGTCCTTCCTTTGTTCCTTCCTTCCTTCCGTGCTGAGGCTTGAACCCAGGCCCTTCACATGCCAGGCAAGTGCTTTCCACTGAGCTACACCCCCAGCCTCACTGTTTCTTTCTAGATTTGACTCCCTTGGGCATTTTGTAAAAATGAAATCATGCAATGTGTGCCCTTCTATTTGTTTTTTGTTGCTCGGGGAGGCCTCAGACTCTGGACTCAAGGGACCCTCCTGCTTCAGCCTCCTGAGCAGCCAGGATGGCAGAGGTCCCATTGCACTGTCACACCTGTGCTCCTTTACTTTTTGGTGGCCCGGGGGCAGGAGCTAGCCCTTGGGTGTGTGAGGCCATCACTTTCCCACAGAGCCGTGGGCCCGGGCCTGTGCCTTTGGTCTTGTCTTTCATTAGCACAGCGTTTTCATGGTCCATGTTGAAGCAGGTGCCTCTTATCGGGGTTATTTTGGAGGATACACTGAACTCATGAGTTCCTAGGTGAATTTGCAGGTGGTTGTAACTGTACTTGCACTGAGTGTCCTGACCTGCACCTCTTCGTGTAGAGGGTTCCTTTGACTCCTCTTAGCCCTGTTGTGTAGTTTTAGTTTTGATACCTCGCTACATTGGTCTGATTTATTCCAAGTATTTGACAAATTTTTGATGCTACTTTAAATTATATATTTAAAAAATTTACAGTGTCCAATTGTTTATTGCTAATATTTAAAAGTATAAGCTGGGATTTAGCTCAGTGGTTCTGCTGCCTGCTTCACAATCGCGAGGAACCAAGTTCGATTCCCAGCCCCCCAAAAAAGAAAAAAAGAAGTACAATTACTTTTTGTATATTGACTTCGCTGCTTTTTGCTTTTTCTCTGTTCTGATTTCTCTTTTTTTTTCCTTTTTGATTTTAGTTTCTTCCTCTGCTTACTTTGGTTTTAGTTTTTCTTTTTCTCATTCCATAAAGTAGAAATTCAAGACCTTTGAAGCATGACACGCCCAACAGCGCAGACTTAAATTGAGTTACTTGGGAGGCTGAGGCAGGAGGGTCACAAGTTCAAGGGCAGCTTGAACAGTGTAGTTAGACCCTGTCTCAGAATTTAAAAAGAAAGAGGCTGGAGTTGTTTCTCAGTGGCAGAGCATTTTCTAAGAGTGCACAGGGCCTTGCGTTCAACCCCTAGCACTATACAACAAAAACAATGACAACCCCCGAGAAACAACTTGTCTTTTTCTCTAATCAGTCTTTAGCACTGTAAATTTCCCTCACAATCATTTTAATTTTCATTCATTTTTAAACTCAGTTTCCAGTTGGTTGATTCTTTGACAGTAAATGACTTAGAATCATGCTAGTTTGTTTCCAAATGTTTAAAGGTTTTCCCAGAGAGCTTTCTGTTACTGATTTCTAATTTAATTTTTCTATGGCCTGACAACACACTTGATATGATTTGAATCCTTTTAAATTTATTAAGTTTTTTTTTGGTGTGGCCAAAAATATGAGGCATCTCCATGAGTAATTGAAGACCTAGTGTATTCTGCTGCTGTTGGGTTAAGTATTCTGAAACTGTTAGACCAAGGTGACAATGCCATTTAGGTACAAGGCATCTTTCTTGGTTTTCTTTTTTTTTTGATATAGGGTGTCACTATGTAGACTGACCAGGAACTCACTATGTAGCCCAGGCTGGTCTCAAACTCGCAGCGATCCTCCTGCCTCGGCCTCCCAAGTTCTGGGATTATAGGCATGCGCCACCATGCCTGGCTTTCTTGGTTTTCTGTATTTACACAGAGACACATGCATTATCTTTTTTACTTTCGTGGGGGGAGGCATGCTTGGCAAGATGTATCCCACTGAACTATTTCCAAATGCTGTACAACCATTTTTGAAACAACAAAAGTTGTCAATCTATTTTTCCATGTACTTCCGTCTTTTTTTTTTTTTTGCTTTACACATTTGAAAACTACTCTGGGTGTGGTAGTGCACACCTGTGATCCCAGCGCTTGGAAGAGCACACTTATGGGTGTATCCTCAATAAACTGATCTATTTATCATTACAAAAAGATCTTGTTTTTCCTTTTTCTGTTTGTTTGTTGTCACTTTTGAGTCAGTCCTTTGCTCTGTAGTTAGACTGGCCTCAAACTTGTGATCCTCCTGCCTCAGCCTCATGATGCTGGGATTTATGGGCATGTGTTACACTGTCTGGCTTTTCCTAGTAATACTGAAAGTATCTTTTTCTTTTCCTTTTTCTGAGACAGGCCCTTGCTATGTAGTTCACGCGGCCTCGAATTCGCGGATGCCTGTAATCCTAGCACTCAGGAGACTGAGGTAGGAGGATCACCACAAAGTTATGGCCAGCCTAGGCTACCCAGTGAGTTCGAGGCCAGCCAGGGCCATACGGCAAGACTCTGTCTCAAAACACAAAAGAAAACAAAATAAAACCAAAAGCGTATGTACCGGGCATCAAACTCAGGACCTTTCACTTGCAAGGCAGGTGGCGGCACCACTGAGCTAAATCCCCAGCCCAAAAGAGTATATTTTTATAAGAAGCATAGAGGAGGTGTTTCAGCTTGTGTATGTGGTGTGTCACAATGAAATGTGAAGCTTACGGCAAAAACGATTTAATCTCAGGATTAGGTAACAACTCACATGTTTGAATGCAGAGTGCAGATTTATTAATATGTTTATATTTACATATTTTATCATAATGAGGTCTTGTTTTTAATAGATTTTTTTTTGCAGTACAGAGGATTGAACCCAAAACTTTTGCACTGAGCTACATCCCAGCCCATTCTTTTTTATTTTGAGATAGAGTCTTGTCTAGTCTCTAAATTGCCCAGGCTGGGTTTGAACTTGTGTGATCCTCCTGCCTCAGCCTCCCAGGGTGATGGAAATATAGACCCACCCCACCAGGCCCAGATTTTAATGGATTTGTGTTGTTTTTTACTCCCTGCATGAGCCGGGCTGTGTTCTGGGTGAAAGGGCCATCTCAAAGTCAGGAGAGTAAACCCCCTGACCTCACGGAACCCATAATTCAGCCTACGATTGGCCTCACATTCAGTGCATTAAGCTCCCAAGTACCATTTTAGTAGAATTGTGCATAGAGTCCCAAGATAACATTTTCCTTTTTCTTTCTTTTTTTTTTTTTTTTTTTTTTTTTTTTTTTTGAGACAGGGTCTCACTGTGTAGTTGAGACTGACCTGGAACTCACTATGTAGCCCAGGCTGGTCTCGAACTCACAGCGATACTCCTGCCTCAGCCTCCCGAGTGCTGGGATTACAGGTGTGCACCACCACAAATTTTTTAAAATTTTGAGACAGGGTCTTTCATAATCACTAATTTGCTGTGTTACTTAGGTTTCTTTCTCTGGAGGAACAGAATCAACAGAAAATCTTTGTGTAATTGTGGAAGGGGATTTATTAGGTATCTTACAGGATCAAATGTTGAGAGTCCACAATACCCACTTCCAGCGAGCCGGAGGATGCATGTGCTGCTCAGCCCACGAAGATGGAAGCAACAGAACAAAAGGGATCAGGAGGCAGCACCAGTCTAAGGCAGAAGGCCTGGCTACTCACTGCAGTGTCACCACTTGAGTCTTTGTTGGAAGGGTGAAGAAACTGGAGACCCACAGCCAAAGCCCAAGGTACAAATTCTGGGCTACAAGACTATCAGTTGATGCTACCTGGCATCTGGGGGTGGGTCTCCCTACTCAGTTTGCTGGCCTAACTGTCAGTCATCTGCCCCACACCCAGAACTGTGCTCTGATAATCTGCTGGGTGGTTCTTAATACTTTCAAATCCGCACAGCATGATTAACCATCACAGTTGTAAAGGCAGGGCTCAAATTGGAAATTCTCCTGTCTCAGCCTTCCAGAGTGCTGGGATTATAGGCATGGGGCACCATGACTAGCTCATGAAAGCAATTTTCTAGAAGCAGCAAAGAAACTAATCAAGAGGAATTGTGGGCAAGAACACCCCGGAATAAGAGCCTGTGTGGGGTTGCGCTGTCGTCACCGTTCCCTCATCTACACAGGACCCAGGAGACCACCTCTGATGGTGAGAACTCCACGGAATCTTCTGCAGCTTGGAGGAACCAGCTGCTATGTAACTTGATAAGGGCACGTTTGGAAGCTGCAGGTCCTGTAAACTAAAGCTACTTCACAGTGGAGAGGCACGGACTACACAGAATAAAATTATAACTGGCCAGAATTGCATTGTTGTTGAGCATGGTGGTGCACTCCTGTAATGCCAGTACTCGGGAGGCTGAGGCAGGATCGCCGTGACTTTGAGGCCAGCCAGAGCTACGTAGTGAGTTCAAGGCCAGCCTGGGCTACGTAGCCAGACCCCCTCTCAAAAACAAAAACA